TGTTAAAAAACGTCGGTTTTTCGATGGTTTTTGCTTTGTGGGAAGGAAAAAATCGTAAACAGTTGTATCGGAAGATTTTTTCAACATAAACTGCCTAACATATCCCCAACATAGGCCCAAGATAGCCAACATATCCCCAACATATGCCCAACATAGCCTCCAAGATGGCTCAACATAGGGCCAACATAGGCCAACATGGGGCCAACATACGCCAACATAGGCCCAACATAGGCCCAACCTAGGCCAACGTAGGCCAACATAGGCCTAACACAGGCCAACCTAGGCCCAACGTAGGCTCAACTTGTGCCCAAGATGTGCCCAATATAGACCACATGGGCCCAACTTGGCCCAACCTAGGGCCAAGATGCGCACCAGATAGCTTAACTTTGCTCAATATAGGCCCCACCCCAAGACGGAGACAGAGACAGAGACAGACAGAGAGAGGAGAGGGAGAGAGAGAGAGAGAGAGAGAGAGAGAGCGAGAGAGAGAGAGACAGGACCCAGCCCCACACAGACCCAAGTGGGCCGGCGCCCGGCTGTCAGGCGTAGGCCTCATAAATAACTTTCGGTTACCACCGAAGGCCCTCCGGTCGTGGCCGGCGCCCGGATTTAAATTAAAGGCTTACGCCTGACAGCCGGGCGCCGGCCCACTTGGGTCTGTGTAGGGCTGGGTCGGGTGCACGTTAAGCTATCGGGGGCGTACTGGGTTCTGGGTGGTGCCCAGGTGGGAAACTGGTCCGCATCGGAGACGGGGGCCCTATATTGCAAAGTTAAGCTATCTGGTATGCATCTTGGCCCTAGGTTGGGCCAAGTTGGGCCCATGTGGTCTATGTTGGGCACATCTTGGCCCCATGTTGAGCCTATGTTGAACCTATGTTGGCCTATGTTAGGCCTATGTTGGCCTACGTTGGCCCTAAGGTGAGCCATCTTGGAGGCTATGTTGGGCATATGTTGGGGATATGTTGGCTATCCTGGGCCTATGTTGAAAATATGTTAGGCAATTTAAATCGTCGGGAGGGCCTCTACCCACGAAACGTCGATTATGCCTGTCCGCCCGGCGCGCATTACCGACACCGCCCTTGAAAAACACAGCGTTTTGGCCTTTCTCCATCTTCGCCGCGTCGTACTTCGATATGCGCAATAAACCCTGTAAAACACAGTGTTTTTTACCTCACACACACGAAGCACTGTAAATTACAGGGTCTTCAGTGAACCGGACGTCCCCCCGTTTTTCGCGACGAGGGTCGGCGGCAGGGGGGCCGAGCATATATAACCTTCGGTTATCGCCGAAGGCCCTCCGGGCAGGGCACGGGCTTCGTGGCCGGCGCCCGGATTAAAGGCTTACGCCTAACAGCCGGCGCAGGCCAAGGCCTTGTAGGTTGTTGTGGCCACGCCCAGACAAAGCCGTAGTGTCTAGTAGCAGCCCGTAGCAGCAGCGCAGCTAGGCCCGGGTGCAGGCGCGCAGCAGCCCAGGTGAGTAGAAAGGGCGGGCAAACCGCAGTTTCGGAACGCATAGAAACCAGGGAGAGGGCCTTACATGGGCAGGTCTGGTCGCCGCAATGGTTAAAAGCCAGGGAGAGGGCCGCGCGTGGGAGGCCAGGTCGGCGCAATGTTGCTGCGGAGGGTTTCAGGGCGGGCAAACGACACCATGTATTTCCACACCAAAAAGGGGCAAGCCGCAGCCAGCCAAAATGCCTAACGTCGCCTCGCACGTCGCCTGGCGCGTCGCCTTCGGGAGCCCATAAAACAGTTGCCTGGCACGTGCCAGAGGCTCACTCCCAAGGCTCCCGGCAATCTGTGTCGCCACAGCTTTCCACCATCTAATTCCACACCAAAAAGGGGCGAGCCGCAGCCAGCCAAAATGCCTAACGTTGGCGTGGCCACTCCCAGACAAAGCCGCAGCTAGGCCCCGGAGCAGGCGTGCAGCAGCCGAGGTGAGTAGAAAGGGTGTCTATAGGCCATCACCAGGCTCGGACTGAAGCGGGATGTCCCGGAACCGCGTAGCAGCAGCCCAGGTAGGTGGCCACAGGCAGGTCTGACTGTGGCCGAAAGCAAGTTGAGCCACCGTTTCACCCTGCGGTGTCCCAGGCGCCGCCCCGCCTAGGCGTTAGCTAGGCAGGGGTCGGCGGATTTCTCAGTGCCCTGGTCTGGTAGAAATGGCTTCACTTTCGCCGCTGTATGCTTTCCTTGCAGGCGTCTCCAGCTGGTGGTTCGGAGAGTAGGTTGCGTGCTGTGGCGAGCTGAGCAATCCTGTGCTATTTCGGGGAGAAGACATTTGAGCTTATGAAGACAGCCGGTGTTTCACCCTTTGATTCGTTTGTTTAAAGAGCAAGGAGAGGGTTCAAGCAAAGAGAAGAAACAGATGAACTCCGAAGGCCTCAGAATCGGCTGTCAGCTGCTTGGCGTTGTGGCCATTTGAGGTCATGACCAGCGGAAATGCAACTGTGGATGAACTCCGGGGAGCCATTGCCAGTGTGGAGGTCAGGATGAGAAACGCAAATTGCACCTCAATTGGGGCAAAGTGTCAACTTAGACTTGGACGATGCAGTGCTTTTGACGACAAGGTTTGTTTGGAGACATGGGTACAACTGCACAGGGGCAGAAATACAGTACTCAAGCAAGATTTCAGATGGATTTCGGGCGGATGTACAGATGAGCACAGTAAGTGTTCTTGGACTAAGAAGTGTCACCTGAACTGCGGTTGGAGCGTCGCAGGCAGTTCTTCTTGAAGCTGGCAGAGAGCTTGAAAGGAAACGATTCCGGGACAGGTGCTTCTCTTCAGCTCAACCTTGCTCTTGCCTGCGATTATGATGTCAGATGCACAAGTCATGCATTTTTTCGTTTGTACATACAATGACTTCTTTGAATGGATCAGGCGTGCTGCTTTTGAGCAGCTACATCATGCACTGGACAAGGTGACATCAGAAGCCTTGCAAACCAGAAACCTTTCATTTATTGTCTGTGCATTGTTTTGAGAACATGAAAAAGACAAATACAAAGACACAGCTCCTACAATCAAGAACCAGTATTCGAAAGGTTTCCAAAGAACAAAGCTCCTTTGCTTTGCTGGTAGCCACCATCAATTTCAAATCTTTCACCATCAGCGTACTGTGGGAAGGTTGTTGAGTATGTTGAGCTTTGTTTTGGTGATGTTCTCATCTTCAGGGTTGCAGACTTCTTTTGAGGCAGACGAGGAGATGCTGGAACAAGCTATCGAGGCAGCGAAAACGGCTGATGTGGATGATGAGGTGCCAACCCAAGCTGTTTCATTCGCATAGGAATTTGAAAGCTAGACAATGAGAACAGGCAGCTTTTGCGAGTCAGTCTTGAAGTGTTTCTACTCGGTCACTATGCCTTTGTCCAATCCATGTGCCTTAGAACCTCTGGCTAAGGACATTCTGAAAGCGCAGAATAAGCTCTTGGAGCTGCAGATGATGTCCCCTGAGGACTATTGTTGACTTCCAAGTGTCAACACGAAACGTTCTGTGAAAGTTTGCAAGACAAAGTTCTAAAACATCCATCTCTTGCTAAGTATTTGAATCAATTCACATCGCATACACACAGACATGCTATGTGGGACTGTCAAGCACGAGTACAAAGTGCGAGTACAATGACTTCAAATTCATGTGCTTCACAACAAACAAACCCGAAACCAAACAAACTAAAG